ATTTCTTATTGTTTAAAATTTTAATTTTTTTTAAATTCTTACTCATATCTATTTGTCTTTCCTAATTTATAATTTTAGAAATAAATATTTATATTTTAAAATTATAATGTATATTAAATTTTCATAATATAGAATAAAAATATGAATATATGTGTTTTCATTAATATAATATAATTATCTTACTTAGACTCAATTGATATATTAGGTATGTATAAAATCAAAATTTTATATCTTTGAGATGTAACATACATAACATACATATATTTTTTCCATCGTCAGTTAATTAAAAAAAATAAAAACATTCAAAATAAAATTTGAATTTGAATTTTTATATAAATAAAATAAATAAACATTTTTAAAATAGTTTTAATTATGATAAATTTATTTTATTCAATCTAGTTTTTTTTAGTTTTTTTATATATCAATATATATTCATAAATAAATAAATATTTATTAAAAAATTATTAATAAAATAGTTTTAAAATATCATTCAAAACCTAACAATATATTTTATATTTTTAATTATTTAATAAAATATTTATTTTCCAAAATAATAATATTTTAAGAAAAACATGCTATTTACTAATTCTATAACACATTTATTTATCAAACTAAATAATAATAAAAAAATATAACTCTTTATATGATCAATTTTTTTAATATTAAATAATATATATAATAATATTATTAATGGAAAGTATTGTTATTAAATTATAAACTAAAATATACATAATAAATATATAATTATAATTCTATAAATTTAAATCAAATACTTAAATTAAGAATTGGTAATCAATAATAATTTATAATTTTTGTATGAAGAAAATATTAATATATTTTTATATTTATCTATTCTATAAATAATAATAATAAAAATAGTAAATTAAATTATTAATTTTATATAATTTAACATTTAAAAAATTTATTTAAATTCTCTTTTATTTAGTGAAAAGTGTATGATAATGAATATAAAAAATCTCACCAAAATTCTTTAAATAGTGTATAGAATGAATAAATTATACCTAGAACATTATGTGTTATTAATAGAATATCTACCTCATTGTTTCAAGCATTGTACCTATCAGTTTAGATAATAGAATATCGATGCAAATTATATTATTACATGCATTTCATGTTCAATATATTTATTTATTTGTTTCGTTGCAATAATATATATATATATATATATATATATATATATATATATTCAATTAATATATTATATTTTTTATTAATATTATTTTAAAATATTTTTATTTTTAATGAATTTTATAAAATTTCTTCTTTTAATAATAAAAATTAGTACTTTTGAACTAAGGATATTAGAAGAAAAAGCTTTATTCAATATATATATATATATATATATATATATATATATATATAATCATTAATAAGTAATAAGATGTCATTAAATGTATCTCAATAAGATTTAAATAATTTAAACTCAATTAATAAAATTATAAACTTTCACTAAAAAACTTAATGTTTATATTTTTTATATATACAAATATATAATATTTTTAAATTTTGTTAATTATAAATACTCATAAAAATTGCTTAGTATAAAAAATAACAAATTCTAATATATATATATAATAATAATAATAATAATAGTAATAATAATAATAATAATAATAATAATAACTAATAATAATAATAATAATTTATTCTAACTTTTTAATCATGATAAAAAATATTAGTATTGCAGTTTTAAAATATAATTATGAAGTAATATTTTTTTTATTTTTAATCTTTTTTATTTATAATTTTAAAAATAATATAAATATCATATTCAAAAGGATTAACACGGAGTTAATAAATTAAGTTGGTTGTAATTCAAAATCAAATAAATTATCTAAATCATTTTTAAAATATATATGATTAAGTTTAATAAAAAAATAAGTTAAATTTTAATATTTTAATTTAAAAAGTAAATCATATAATTAAAAAAAATCAAAACTCATCAAACTTATTTAATTATATCTAATTAAGTCATAGAGTTAAAAAAATAAAAATAAGATATAATAAAAGTTAATCTAACTATAATAATGTAAATATAAATAATTAAATATTAATTTAACAAAACATAAAACTGACTCTTATTATTCAATACCTATATTATATTCCATGTAAAAATAAATCTAAAATTAAGATAATATTTAAATAAAATGAAGATAATAATTGAATAATTCGATTATAAATAATTCAAGTTTATAAGTATAATCACAATTATATTCATTTTTCATAACTTATTTTCTTTTATATTATTTTTTCCTACCCACCAAAAACATATTTCAATAATCCCTCTAACTAAAAATAATATATAGTGAATTATTAATATAATAGATTAAGAAATAAAAATGAAAATAAAAAAGCTAATTTACAAAAATAAATGAAAATCCAATTTATAATTATATTTGGTAGTTTATAATTTCCTTATAATTATCAATTTCATTGTTACTCATACTCTATACATAGAATAGAATAAATTAGCTTGATACTTTAACAAATAATTTGTTGTGAAAAAATTATTTGAAGGTGATATTAACTACTTTTATGAAGATATAACCATAACCATTCGGAATTAAAGATCTTGTAGAAATTTGATGTAAATTCAAAATATATTTTTTTCATTTGTTTTTTTTTTTAGAAATTTCTTACAAATAAATAGACAGGTAAATAGTTTCTTAGATAAAATTATATATTATTGTAAACGAAATTAACATTACTCATAATAATAAAGGAATTTTAATAATTTGATTTTATATAATCAACATTACTCATAATAAAGAATTAAATTATGCACATAAGTAATAATATTTATTGTATAAAAATAGAAATTTCCAACATATTATGCTTCAAACCTAAATATATATACAGAAACTATTTATCTAATTATTTATTCATAATTAATACTATAAAATCATGATAAATCATTAATAAAATATTATATTTATAAATATTTGAATAATTTAATTTAATTTAATCAAAATTATTTTTAATAAAGAATTAAATTATGCAGTAATATTTATTATAAAATTAAAACTTTTAATTTATTATGAAAAATGCATGAACATCATTAATAAGATGCTATTACATTTGAGTAATTTGATTTCATTTAATAATTTTTTAATAAAAATTTAAATTATATACATTAGTAATATTTTTTATAAAAAAATATAAACTTTCATCACAAAAATATATATATATATATATATATATATATATATATATATATATATATATAAACAAAACATGTTTTTCATATAAGAATTATAAAAAAATATTTATATTTAGTATAATTAAAATTTTTTATTTAATTTGTAATAATCACAGATAAAAATGATGTTATTTTTATGTCACGTTTATTTGGATAATATATCATATCCATAGATTTAAGTATCATCAAACAAAACCGTTTATATAGAACAATATATTATCTAAAATTAATTTAGTTGAACCTGATTAGTATGATGATAAACATTTATAATTAGTTATAATTTTATGAAATTATTATTTTTTAATTAAAATCATAAACATTATATACATTACTTAATTATTTACGTTATATAAAATTAATTTTATTTTTAAAAATAATAGTTAAAATTATAATAAAATAAATAATATTATATAAAAATAAGATAAAATATTTTTAAAATATTTATTATAAAAAAACTAAATATATAGATAATAATTTCTCCTAAATATGTAATCATAAATATCATGATAAAAAAAATTAGTGTTACAGTTTCGAAATACAATTATTAAGTATATAAATTACTTTGAAATAATTTTATAATTTTTATAATTATAAATAACAGGAAATATATTTTACGTACCAAAGTAACAAATGTGAGAATTTTAATTTATATATATATATATATATATTTATATATATTCATTAAAATGGATAGATTTAAAATAAATTATAACATAAATAAAAGTCATATTTCAAAATATGATTTTTTTTAAATGATGAAAGTCATAATTAGATATATATAATTTTAATTTTTAAATAATATTAAGGTTTTTTTTAATACGGCTTAATACTTAAAATAAAAAAAAATAGACCCGACTTACTATTTCTTTTAATAGACATTATAATTTTAAAGATATTTTAAAACATCGTGTTTTAAAATATGTTTTTTATTAAAAATTATATATTAAAATAAGTGAAAAGACAATTATTATTATTTTTTATATCATGCTAAATATTACTTCCCTTCTTCCACTTTTAGATTAAATATTACTCATTCTTTTAATTATAATAAAATATTATTTAACATCTCTTTTTAATTTATAATGAGATTCATATTCATATAACATTTGTATACACATTTTTATTTATTTAAGAATAAGGTATTGATAAAATCTTAAATTTAAAATTTTACAATGTAAAGTTAGTTTTTTTAATATAAAATAACTAAACCGTTGAATCTAGTATTTTTCTTCAAATTCATTCTTGGTCTACTCATTACAGAAAAGATCACAAGGTTTTTCTTTGTCAAAATGTAACAGCAGATGCTGCTCACATATGAGGTGGAAGAGAATGAGTCTATGGAGTGGTTAGCCAGAAAAGTTGAAAAACTGAATATTATGTTATGTTTCAGGTGTGTATCTGTTTCATTTTGTGTTTGTTGGTGTATCAATCTTGGTTATAAACACCAGTGTCAAGGGTCTTGCGATAAACTATATTGCAAGCTGTTTTATAGGGATTTTATTACATATCAGTATCTAGCAGACTTTAGATTTGTAAATGTAGCTGTATACAAGAGTTTGATTTCTACATGAATACAATTCTCAAACCAAACCATTCTCTCAAATAACAAATTGTGATTAATCAATATTCTGCAGTGTGAGTAGAAAAGAGGATTTGTGAAAGAACATATCTTAACATTCAATATAACAAACACTGTCTGAAACTGAACATGAACCAGTTTTATTACTCTGAAACTGAAAACATATAACAAATCGAAAAGACTGTGTCTCTTGCCAATTACTCAGCTCTCCCAACCATTAAGGAAGTTTCCAAGTTTGCTAATTGTAGGACAAACAGGAACAATTGAAAGGTCACGCTTCCTTACTCCGTCCCTAATATGATATCGATATCTCTCACCGGCACCAAAGTAACCATCCATGAAATTATATTCAAGAACTTGAAGGCTAGGACAGACGCTAGGAAATTCCATGGAGAAGGGGTCATCCCTTTTAATAAAAAGTTGAAGCTCAACTAAATTCCAAAACTTTGGTGGAAAAACATGAATGGAAGGTAGCATGTCTTGCTTAAAACATCTCAGAGACAGATATTTAACGTTACGTATTGCGACAAGAATCTCAGCAAAAGACTCCTCTTCCACGGTCAAGTATATTGTCAGATGAATCTTGGAGTCCAGAACTTTAGGCCATTGATTTATCTCCTCCAAATCTAAGATAAAATCTGAGTCACGATCATCACTGTGTATAAAAAGGTTATAAGCCATACTGTTGTTACGGTGCAATCGCATACCCCTTGAGTTACGCACAATTTTCAACTCCTGGAAATAATAATTATACATTTTCTGCTTCATATTAAAGAGGTAGAAAAATTCAAGAGCTGGAGATCCAGAAATTAGGGTTCTAACATTGGAGTAGGGTAAGCATGTGTTGACACGTAGTGTTATGCTCTTGACATTGGGGAGATGGGCAGAAGAAGGAATAGAGATATCAAAGGGGCCTTGGATACTCAAGGTGTCAATTGTGGTGCAAGTGAACAAATTGGAGAAGGAGAGCACCTTTCCATTGTATATCCGCAAGTTGATATCCAGTTTTTCAACTTTTCTTGCTACCACTGCATAGACCCATTCTTGCACGTTATTTACGAAACAACAATTGCAAGTACATAGGAGAGAAAACCTAGTGATCTTTTCTGCTCTGCGTCGATCCAAGAATTCATCGATCTTCTCGTGATATTCCATGGTTGGTTTGCTGCACAGAATGTTCAGAAATGAAACCATTTTCAATAGAAATCTCCATCTGGTGGACAAGGAGGACTGCTTTTTCACGATTTTTTTGGTGCACTGAATGTCAATAGATGGAACCATGGTCCATACGAATTTCCACCTGGTGGACAAGAAGGACGTAGCTATGGCTTCCTTGGTTGTAAGTAATGAAAGGATTTTGCATAGAATATCGTCTGGTAACTGGCTTATTCGATCCTCTTCGGACATCTCTCTCTGACTAGGGTTTTTTAGGTTTAGGGATTTTGTGGCGATACTAAAAAAACAAATGATAGATTAGATGATAATTTGAGATTTTGTACCCTTTAGACTGGGCCAGGCCCAACACTTGTATGTCATGATTCATCATTGTAAATGATGTCAAATATATATATAAATATATATATATATATATATATATATATATATATATATATATATATTAAAATTGTTTTGTTTTAAGGAATATCAATATATATGAAAAAATTTTGATTTAAGTAATTAATTATCATATGACTAGTAAGTAGAAAACATAACAAGATATGTTGAATAAGAATTTTATATGATACTAAATAGATTTTTTAAGTGAGACAAACATACTTAAATTAGACAAGAACATTACAAGTTATCTTCCAACTTGATATGCTTGACAAATTCAACTTTAATGTCCACACTAAAGCGATATTATTCCCAAAATTTTACTTGAGAAACATAAACAAAAATTAATGATTTCTTGTTATGTTTTGTAAGTATATGATTCATTGACACTACACGGAACATAAGCTAATCTTCTATAAATCAGTTAACGCTTTATTGTATTCAAATTATTCATTAATTTAGACATGAAATATGTGCAACACAAGAGGGAGCCAAGGCAGGTTTTTCAACACAACCAGTTCATTAAATCTAAATAAAGATTCAACACCTTTTATGTCCAAGGGTTTGAATATATTCCCCTTTTTATTCAACAACTGATCATCTCATAGACATGAGTGATGATCCCATCTTTATTAAGCTAGAAGAAAAGGAAAGAAAAGGTAAGCTAGATATGTATATATTTGTGTGTGTGTATATATATCATGCTCATGCATCAGACCAGAGAATGTCTAATTCACCCCAGTCACGTTTTGGAACACCCAAAGCCTTCCAAACAGCTTCAGAGGCATCCAACAACATTGTTGGAGCATGGAGGCTGGAAATCATGTTCAGCATCACACCCTCTTCTGGAATCACACTCATCAACAACCATGGCATGGACCCTTCTTCCATTTGCAGAGATGATGATATTGTGATGACACCTTCTGTTATTGAACCATCCAGTTGATAATGACACAACTGGAGTGTTGTCTGAGTGAAACGTGTTGTCACATTCTGAAGGGCCTCCTCCATCCCCATCTTTCTCAAAGCTATTCAGTGTTAGAATAGCCTTTGTGTGATGAAACACAGGCGGAGAACACTTGCATGTGGGGTATACCTTCCCCTTGTGGCAACACTCAGACTCATTCTCTCTATTGCATTTTCCTGGAGGAGGGCCTGCAGGTGGCACCTTCAGTGTCCAGCCACAAGCTTGCTACAAGAATTAGCAGCAAGAGAATGACATGAAAAGAAGTTGCACAACTTTTGATCTTCATGGATTCTCTTTCTTTCTTTTATCTCTCAATGATTATATAATTAGAAAGTAAAATCAGCAAGGGCATTTATAGAGACACTAGCTCAAATGCGACAGAATCCCTTGTCAAATAAGACACGTCCTATATAATATATAACAAGTTCAATTTTTCATTTACAATCCAATGAATGACATGTCACCATTTGTTCATGATTATGTCGCGCCAATCATATGCAATTTTGTTTTACCAATTATATAAGATGTTAGAATCTAGATTTTACTCCCTGTTGCTAATCTTAATCTTGTACTTCTCTAGCCCCGTTTACTAAGAAAAGAGACATTAAAATTCAATTGAAGTAATAAATTAGTTGAGTGTTATTATTACCTTAACCTTGAACACATAGTAGGGAAAATTATTCTCTTTCATTCCCATCCATTTTAACATAATTTATATGTGGGTGTTCAGCAAAAGTTCCAAGCTTGCATGATCTACTAGCTAGTTAAGAAATGATGAAAGAAGAAAGCCTATGCAACCCTGTTTTCTTGTATGGTAAACTTCGATAGTGTTCTTTAAAGCAGTATAATATGAATCAATTTGTCATAATATGATGCATATTGATCAGCATAAAACCACGACTTATAATCATATATATTGATCGTTATGTTCAGCACAAATATTGTTTTCAAATTGTAATTAGTATAACAGAAGTCGATTTTTTTGTTCTTGACGTTAATAGCATCGATGTTCAAATACTAAATATTCTAAGATGTTTCTTCTACAAACTTAGGTACTTAGATTCAGTATATGGTTGGAATGCTGTAATTGTCATTTTATAACGGAGGAGATAACATCAAATTCCAAAAAGATTAACGTCACTACCACTAATCCCAAAGCTAACGATGAAAATGGCAGCATTATATTTAGTAGAAGACAATATTGTATATTCCGGTCAATGATTCTGTCAATGCATTTCATCCAATCAGAAATTCCAAACATTGTTTGAAAGATTATCTTTGAAAGCAAGAAACTGGCTTCACGATTCTTTGACCTTTGGTTGATGTTAACGAGACAGGATTTTGCACTAGCTGTCTGAACAATACAAGGCAAATTAAGCTGTAGGAAATCCTTATTATTTGGATTCATAAGTAAAATTTAACAAGAACACGTTTGTTTAATTTTTTACTAAACTTTTCATTGAAATCGAAATTTCATTTTCCAACTCTTAACATCTGGTGTTTTGTTGTGGACATTAAATGCCATCCTTATTCCTTGCCACACACTGTATTTCTACCCACTCATAAATATTTAAGAGTTGCATCATTCTTGATTGATTTGCCTTGTCAACGAGGAATGATACGGAATGAGTGAGTCGGATTCACTTGAATTCAAATGTATATATATCTTAAGATCGTGTATTGTTGTATATTATACTGAAAGTTTATAGTGAAGAATGATTCGATATAAACTTTTGTGAGTTTTTTTTTAAACTAGTAAGTAATCATTTTTCAAGTTTTCAAGTGTTTTGATTAAATTCAGGAATATAACATTAACGAATGTCTTACTCATCCATTCGTATGAAATCAATTTTTATAATGAAACTCTTATTATTAACTTAATGAAAATATTTATAGGACTAGTTTAGTTGTGAATTTGGAGGTTAAGTATCAACTCATACATAGTTTGGTTAATTTGATTAAATTTTATTAAGTTGAATAATGGAAAAAATATTTGAAAATAAAGAAACCAAAATAATAAGATAAACTGATATAGAAAATCAATAAAAGTGTTTACTAAAATTATAAGAAAATCCATTGAAAAATATTTTTCTTATTCTGCTTTATTCTTGGTAATTTACGTTTTTTAACCATTTACATTTCTAGTTATTTACTCTTTACAGTAATTTTTATTTTGTAATATATAGTTGGTTTCTTTATTTTTAAAGATTTTTTCCATTGTTCATCTTAATAAAGTTTAATCAAATTAACCAAACTATGTATAAATTGATACTTAACGTCTTAATTCACAACCAAACTAGTCCTATAAATATCTTCATTAAGTTAATATTTGAGAGATTCATTATAAAAGTTGATTTCATATTAATTGTTGAGTAAGACATCCATTAATATTATTATATTCTTGGGTTTAATCAAACATTGTCTAAATTAAAAAATTATTATTTGTTAGTCTAAAAAAAAAAAAAACTTATAAATGATAAATGATTTGTATCAAACCATTTTTCATGATAAATAAATTGGCATACCTAGTAGTAGGATTAGTATGATTAATTCACACATTATTTGACTAGTTTTATAGGGTGTTTGTTACAATGTATGAGACATAATGTCAAACCAAAATATATAAAGTTCTACACTTAATTCCACAATTATGTCTAAAACATCACATACTAATACAAGTCAAAATAATGAAGAACAAAGCACTAGAACTTAGGGATGGTAAAACGGGCCAGCCCGTCCCGTTTTGGCCCGATATAGTCATGACGTGACTGTAGACCTTGACCAGCCCCGCCATAATTTAGAAAAAAAATATTTTTTTAAATAATTTTTTTAATAAATTTAATAATAAGATTATTATTTGTTTGTCAATAATTTAATATATATATATATATATATATTATTTCAATTTAATAATATAAATCAATACATTATTTTAAGAAATTATAATTTAGAACAATAATAAAATTTACATAATAATAAATAATAACAAATATATATATATATATATATATATAAATAACGTTAAACTTATAAAATTTATATTTTTTATATTGAAAAATTCAAATACCTATATCTTTTTTATTTGATAATAAAACTTCATATTATTCTTGGTTGAGTAATTCTTACACCTTTAATTCAAGTAATAAGGATAAAAATAATCGAGTGCTTAGGATAAACAAGGAGAACAGGAGAGAAGGTTATATTTCGGGAAGGAGAATATTTTATGTGAGAATGAAACTTTTTTAATTCTCTTTTTAAAATTTTTAACTTTATATATTATCTTTATAATTAATTTTATTATAATAAAAAATTATTTTTTTATTAATTAGGCGGGCCGCGGCTGGCCCGCCTCGTCCCGTGGGTTGGCCCGACGGGTTGGAGGGCTTGGCGGGGCGGACCAAAGTGGGCTGGTGGGCTGAAAACACCAACCCACCCCGCCGGCCTGACCCGTTTTGCCATCCCTACTAGAACTGGAAGTATTGTCATAGCCAAAACAACCGAACACAACATTCCCACTATCCAGGGAAATATAACCGGGCATAATATCTCAGATACTCATAGTAGTTAGTGTTAGGATAAAGATATTTGATTAGCTAAATTACAGGTTTGTATAATGGTACAAAATATTGTATAATCAGAATTTCCTTTATTTAGTCCTGATTTGTTGGAGTAAAATACTATAAGATCATAGTATCTGTGTAAAAAAATAATATGAATAAAAATTATAGAATGAATTCTATGTTTTTCAATTTGGTACTAGAGCTTATCATTTTTTTTCTTTTTCTTTCTAAATCTTTGGAGATCTTAACTAGAGAGATGACAGAATAACTAATTCCAATGGTTGTTCAATCTGAAAGTGTCTTTAACGTAGGCATCATCCTAAATGAATCTAATTATGACGTATGGTCACAACTAATGAAGATGCACATTGCAGAGAGGGAAAAATTGTCCTACATCCGTGGGAAGGTGAAACCTCCAATAGAGAACGATGAGGGATATGAAAAATGGTATGTTGAAAACCAAAAAGTGAAAAGATGACTATTGATGTCCATGAAACCATAAATCATGAAAAAGTATCTTCTCTTATCCACTGCCTCGATATTTGGAATGTTTTGTCAAATGCATTTTATGATGGAAGTGATGAGCTACAAACATTTTTCTTTCACAATGAAAATATGCATTGGATTTACTGAAAGAAACTGGAATGACAACATGCAAACCAACAAATTCTCCAATTGAAGAGGGATTGAAGTTGTGCATTGAAGAAGATCAAACTCCAACTAACAAGGAAAAATATCAGAGACTTGTAGGAAGATTGATGTATCTCTCACACACTAAGCCAGATTTAGTTTATGCTCTTAGTGTGGTTAGCCAGTTCATGCACAATCCAGGTGAAAAACACATGGATGCTGTTGTATGGATTTTAAGGTACATAAAAGTTGCTCCTGGAAAAGGAGTTATGTTCAAGAAGAACTCCAACTACAAGGATGTAATGGTTTATACTGATGCAGATTGGGCAAGTGCTCTTGATGATAGAATATCAACCTCTGGATGCTTTACATTTATAGGAGGTAATCTTGTCACATGGAAAAGCAAGAAACAGAAAGTTGTAGCTAGATCTAGTGCAGAAGCTGAACTTAGAGGAATGGTTCTTGGACTTTGTGAAGGTTTGTGGCTCAGACTACTTCTCCAGGATTTAGAGTATGCACATACACGTCTCATTCAGTTGTATTGTGATAATAAAGCTGCGTGCGACATTACTCACAACCTTGTCCAACATGATCGGATGAAGCATGTGGAGGTTGATAGATTTTTTATCAAGGAAAAGCTTGATAAAAATATTATGGAATTGTCAAATATTCGATCTGAAGATCAGCTGACAAACATTCTTACCAAAACTGTGACAAGTCAGATTTTTAGGAGATTATTGGACAAGTTGGGAATGTATGACATCCATTTACCAACTTGAAGGGGAGTGTTGGGATAAAGATATTTGATTAGATAAATTACATGTTTGTATAACGGTACAAAATATTGTATAATCAGAACTTCCTTTATTTAGTCCTGATTTGTTGGAGTGAAATACTATAAGATCATAGTATCTATGTACAAAAATAATATGAATAAAAATTATATAATGAATTCTATATTTTTCAATTTTTAGGAGATGTCTATAATGAAAACAGTAAGTAATCTGATGATTCTTAGATCTCATATGAACACAAGGATGGATAATCAACCTTTTACAAATATGGGATGCAATATCAATGGGGCCAACTCTTCCATACATCGAAACAATCAGGGTTTACCACTAATCAAAAGATATCCTTGGAGTATGCCTCCATGGTAGCCAACTCCTAATTCTAGTAGAATAAATGATTGAAACCAAAATCATACTCAATTAGGTTTTGATAGATAATTTGTGAGGAATAACATTGATTTCGAAAATATAAGTACTAAAATATCCAATAGTTTCTTAGAAGTGATAAGATAGCAGATGAATGATAGTAATCATGAAATGATAAACTTTTTGTCACAACAAATGACCACAATCTTTAACCCAGTAGTCTAAACTACGCCTAATAGTTTTCAAAGGTTGGCAGGATAAATGGCTAGAATTGAGGATGTGCTAGCGATTCCTCGAAGAGAAAACTTAGAAAATAACGGTCAGGTGAGAAATAATCAAAATGAAAATTAAGATCAACATAATTAACAAAACAATCAAATGAGAAATTTTCAAATAATTAGAAGAGGTCAAAATGTTGATAAGCTTTTATATATGTGGAATAATGCAAAGAGTTAATGGTTATGGAGGTAATATGATGGATAATATGTATAATTAAAATAATGTATAGTATAATCATATAATGGGGTAATGGATTAACCAACAAGATGTGAGAATAAAATTATATAATCAACCTTCTTTTATTTTACCTTTTCTCGATTTCATGCTTGAAGCAGGACTCCCTCGAGAATTCAAGATATCGAAATTCACAAAGTTCTCTAGTGATACCAGGGAATCCATTGTAGGACATATTGTTATATATCAAATTGAATGTGAAAATATCTTGATGAATAAAAGTTTGAGAATGAAATATTTTCTCAGTTTTTTAACAAAAAATGTTTTTGCTTGGTTCACAACATTTTTCCCAAATTCAATTTATAATTTGGCTCAACTAGAAAGAAATTTCCATGAACAATTTTTAGGGGAGAAACACATGTTAGAAAAGTAGTTTTAGATCAAGGGGGGGTGAATTGATCTTTGAAAGTTTTTCGCAAATAACAGATTATCTATTTGTAAAAATAAGATTTCAGATCTGTTCTTGAATCACAAAGCAATCAATCAAATATAAACGCAGTGACATAATTAATGGAGAGAAAGGTTAAGAAAGATATTACCGGTGTTTTATACTAGTTCACCCAATACCAGGGCTACGTCCAGTCTCCAGCCAAATTCCAGCTGGGTTCCACTAGATCAAATGTTTTACATATTTACAATCTTACACTTAATCTACCACAAGAACCAAATTCCAGTTCCTGCACTCAACCTCTCACCAAGAACCAAATTCCAGTTCTTGATAACCTCTACAACCAAATTCCAGCTGCAGAGAAACCAGTGCCCAAATTCCAGGCACCAAACAATACAAAAAGAATGTAAAGAAATGAAAAAGAAGAAACTAGAATGCTCAAACCAGTTTATGCAATTCTGCTGTAAGTGTTTCTTCTTCAGGAGAAATCAAGTTGCCTCAAGAAATATTTTCAAAGAACTTCTCAAAAACTGACGCGAATCTTTCTTGAAAAGATGCTAAAGTTTGCTTGCTTGATTACTTAAGATTGATGTTCAAAATGTTGTATTTAAAATGTTCAAGCCAAACTGTTTTTATAGAAGATTTTCAAAACTGCTGGTTTAATCAATCTGTTAAAATATTCTTTTAATCTGTTAAAAGTGTAGTTTAAATCTGTTAAAACTTCTTTTAATCCATTAATACGTTCTTGATTCTTTAACGATTTGTTTTAACCGATACGACAACGTTTATATCAATTAAAACTCTTTACAAAAAATCTTCTAATTTGATTTAATCGATTGTTTCGCGATTCAATCGATTAATATACTGCAAAACTTTCTTGTAAAACTTTCCAAGTTATTTTAACTGATAAAAATAAGTTTTAATCGATTAAAACACTTTGTAGAAATTTTCTAAGTTGTTTTAATCAATTGAAACGAGATTTAATCGATTAAAAGAGTTCTGATCGGTCATAACTAAATTCTGATCGATCATAACTGATTCTGATCGGTCATAATTGCATTCTGATCGATCATCCTGGATGTTAAGTGGATTTAATCGATTAAAACCAAGTTGTATCGATTAAAATACTGCAAAAACACTTCTCTGAACATTCTAAGTGATTTTAATCGGTTATTTCAAAACTGTATCAGTTAAAAACTTGTTTAAGAAAGCTTTTGTCAAAATACTTTGTTTTTAACTTGTTTAAACGAT